CTTATTTTCATCGCCAGGTCGTTATATTTCGATGGATATATTTCTTCCAGATTGAATAAGCTCATTAATTAGAAAACTTTTTGCTGAAAAATCTTTTACAAATATAAGTTTGTTTTACCAAGTTTTCGGGTCCGAGTTTTAATTTGTGTTTGAGATTCAAATGTGACATATTTTTCGATTTTCATATTCATTCCATAAAATTTTATTACGACCTGAAGAAAATATTGGGAATTCAAATTTGTCAGAAAGTTACCAATGTTAAAACGAGAATATCGGTCAGAGACCGAAGACTTATCGATCAAAAGTTAGGGGATCCCCCAAAACAGCGCTCTTACTCCATAGTGACACCTTGTGTCCCATCACTAATTAATTAATAACTCGCTAGTTAAACGACATAATTTGCCCAAAATCAATAGGCTTTTGGTCCGAGATAAGATGAATGCACATGCAAAATCTGGAGCAGATTCGATCTTGCTTTCGTGAGATATCGCGTGCATCTAACAGACATACATACAGACAGACAAATATCTATCAACATACTTACCGATTAAAATCGATAAGTAACAAATTAAAGCATTGTCTTCTCTTCAAAATAAATTTTTATATTTCGTATGACCCTCCGTCCCCTCTCGGGGTCTTAAAACATAGCAAAAATGTCAGTTCCTTCGTTTTTCAACTTATTGTGTATGAATTAGTGCGATAAAGAACTTTTCCATCAACTTTGCTCTAATATTTTATTTTTTAGATGTGTTTCTGAATCTTTCGATGAAACAAATTATTTTTTACGAACAGACTTAAAAATTGAAATTCATGAAAACTTTCAGTTCAGAAATGTTATTTGCCATTTTGTGTGAATAAAATAGTCTCGCAAAACGTTATCGATGTATTTTTAAATTGATAAAGACCAAATTTATCTCTCTGAAAACTAGGAAATTAATTTAATCGGAGAAGTATAATTTGAAAACAGTTCTATCCAAGTCGAGTAAATACAAACTTTTCTATGAGTAATCATCGAGCATGGCGCATTGTAGGATAGAAATATAGAATATGATTTATATAAATTTATCCCAGGGAAAAGGAAGTTATTTGTTTAATGCATGTCGATGTTTTTTCCAAATCCTTGTTCAGAGAGATAACAAGGTGCTGAGGCGGGAGTGCTGACAGTATCGGTAACCGTTTTTTGACTACGACTCCGCCTAAACATGTCATCGAGAAGTTGACTTAGAAACGCGATACACATTGCAATCAAGCAATAATATGAAGCACTGGGTCAAGAAAATGATGATGATATTCGATAACTAAGCACTGAAATATAGCACAAAATATGCTGAAGCATCAGGATGTTATTCAACATCACGAACATGCAGTAATAAACTTTTGAATCTCCACTAATGATTGAACTTCTTGTCCACTTAGTGGTGATAATTCAAATACAAATTGCTGTATTACATCATGTCTGACAATTTTCTTTTTAATGAACTGATAATATATTATTTCGTGATACAAATGATTGGATGTTCAACTAATATTTTCTACAAATCAACTATAACACAAATCAAAAAGGAACTAACTGATGGTGCTATCGTAGTGAATATGAATACTCTACCGAAAGATTACAGTTTATCATTGTACGTTACGTTATGTGAAGTGATATCCTAAATTTCTACCATAGTGATCAATTCATTAAAACACGAAAAATAGTTCAAAGCCTATTTATGAATTATTATGGTTTTAGCCAGGGCAATGTTTTGCAATCTTTGCGTCGCGAAGTGGGTTGCTTGCCAAACAGTTACTGATTTTATTTTTAATACATTTTGATATGAAATATATTTTGACACTGAAGCTTATGTCAAATATCGCAACGTAAAGAGTAGCAGCGCTGTGATAAATCGAATGGCGATTTATCAGTGACTTGAATCGACTCGAGTTAACTGAATTAAATAACTCGGACGCAACTAACCACCGATGAGACTCGGTATATTGATTGATTGGACTGGATGTTCGCAGATTTTCGCTAGGACTGTAAAGTGCTTCCTCCGGGTATCCTTCCCGCCTGGCTTCTTCCCATCGGCCAACTAGTTATGATGCCCAAATCGAATCAAATATCCAAATTGATTTAAAATTGATTATATTGAAAATTTTGAATCCGAAATTTAGGGGAAATAATTTTGAATGAAATTTCTAGCAGAAATGAAAAACCTGCGTGCTTCTTATTCTCGAATCACTATGTTTTTATGAGTCTGTATGCGTATTATAATAGTTTTAAGAGAACTGTAGAAAGTACTTTAATTAAAATTGTTATCATAGTAAGGGCCCAAAGCGTTATATGTCCTTGAATAGCGGTATTTTTTCGCATTGTTATAAGTGCTGTTTCGGTTACAGGGAGTTCTACAAAGTGCTTTGGTTGAATTCGTAAATAGGTCCTTGACTGAAATATTTAGTGTTAAGTTTTTTTTTATGATGTTATATCGACGGCATACAAAATAGCACTAAAAACCCACGTTACATAACACAACAATATTCACTGATATTTCTGATTCAACTGTGAGTAATCGACATAAATAACCATTTAACCTGTTCAATTTTTTGTTTAAATTTTTTGATCTGTTTGATTTCGGGAAATGAGTGTTTGAAAATTTGCCGTTTCAAACTTGCATAACCCCGGCATCAGATTTTGCAAATTTTAACCCTTGCAAACGGTTTAAAACCAAACATTACCGCTACACCGAAAGGCTTGAAAACCACTGATATTAACATCCAAGACATAGACTGAATTGTATTGTTTGCCTTCTACCAGTTGAACATGTTTTAGTATAATAGAAAACAAAATCTTTGGAAACGTTGGCTAAAGCTAACAGCATTTGTGCATGTATCACTAGAAACAGTGATTTCCGCACACCCTTTTATAAGTGGTGGAGAAATATCTAAATCATACTATTTTTATAAGTCTGTATGTGTAATATGTCAGTTTTAAATGGACTGTAGAAAGTACTTTGATAAAAATTGTCATCAAAGCCAGGGCTCAAAGTGTTATATATATATCTCCCTGAATCGCGGTATCTTGTTGCATTACCTTGTGTGTTGTCTCAGTTTTAAAAAAAAGCTGGTTTAGGGTCCCATCATAATCTGGTCTTTGACTGATATATTCAGGGATAAATTTGCTTTACATAATGTTATATAAACAGCAAACAAAATAGATGTTAATCAATATAAAATATTTTAATTTGTTCAACTTGTTTAACCTGTTGGGTTTCAGGAAATAATCGTTTGACACTTTCGCCGTTTTAAACTAGCATAACCCCGGCATCATATTTTGCACATCCTAACCCTTGCAAACGATTTAAACCAAACATTACCGCTACACCGAAATGCTTGAAAACTACTGATATTAACACCTAAGACATAGACTGAGTTGTATTGTTTGCCCCCTACCAGTTGAGCAAGTTTAAGTTTAATAGAAAACAAAATCTTTGGGAACGCAGCATTTGTGCATGTATCAGCAGAAACCGCGTTTTCTGCACACCCTTCTATAAGTGGTGTAGAAATATCTAAATCACGATATTTTTATAATTCTGTATGTGTAATATCTCAGTTTTAAGACCATCGTAATCTGGTCTTTGACTAATATATTCAGGGATAAATTTGCTTTACATAATGTTAAATAATCGGCAAACAAAATAGATATTAATCAATATAAAATATTTTAATTTGTTCAACTTGTTTAACCTGTTGGGTTTCAGGAAATATTCGTTTGACACTTTCGCCGTTTTAAACCAGCATGACCCTAGCATCATATTTTGCACATCCTAACCCTTGCAAACGATTTAAACCAAACATTACCGCTACACCAAAATGCTTGAAAACTACTGATATTAACATCTAAGACATAGACTGAATTGTATTGTTTGCCCCCTACCAGTTGAGCAAGTTTAAGTTTAATAGAAAACAAAATCTTTGGAAACGCAGCATTTGTGCATGTATCAGCAGAAACCGCGATTTCTGCACACCCTTCTAAAGTGGTGTAGAAATATCTAAATCACGATATTTTTATAATTCTGTATGTGTAATATCTCAGTTTTGAGACCATCGTAATCTGGTCTTTGACTAATATATTCAGGGATAAATTTGCTTTACATAATGTTATATAAACGGCAAACCAAATAGATATTAATCAATATAAAATATTTTAATTTGTTCAACTTGTTTAACCTGTTGGGTTTCAGGAAATATTCGTTTGATACTTTTGCCGTTTTAAACTAGCATAACCCCGGCAAGATATTTTGCACAATCTAACAATTGCCAACAATTTAAACCAAACATTACCGCTACACCGAAATGCTTGAAAACTACTGATATTAACACCTAAGACATAGACTGAGTTGTATTGTTTGCCCCCTACCAGTTGAGCAAGTTTAAGTTTAATAGAAAACAAAATCTTTGGAAACGCAGCATTTGTGCATGTATCAGCAGAAACCGCGATTTCTGCACACCCTTCTATAAGTGGTGGAGAAATATCTAAATCACGATATTTTTATAATTCTGTATGTGTAATATCTCAGTTTTGAGACCATCGTAATCTGGTCTTTGACTAATATATTCAGGAATAAATTTGCTTTACATAATGTTATATAAACGGCAAACCAAATAGATATTAATCAATATAAAAATATTTTAATTTGTTCAACTTGTATAACCTGTTGGGTTTCAGGAAATAATCGTTTGACATTTTCGCCGTTTTAAACTAGCATAACCCCGGCATCATATTTTGCACATTCTAATAATTGGCAATAATTTCAATTAAATATTACTTCCGCGGGTGCGGTGGTGACGTCGTCTTAATCGTTTCATAAAGAAAGAGCAGCGTTTACCAAATTCTCTTTTTATGACGCAACTGGTATCCTAAAATTTGAAAGAGAGAAACCAATTTCTCTTTCTGCTCCAGAGTTCTGCGTGAGTGTGCATAGGATATATTCCGATGCAAATAAATTGAAGCTTCATTTTAACTTACGTTGTTCGGGAGTCGACTTCATTTGACGAAATTTATGGATTCGAAATGAAGATTCTGATTCAACACGTTCTTATTATGTTTATCGGGGCATTTCAAATGATAGGAGGTCTGTATTACCGGGCATGTTCTGTTCTGTGCTCCTCTGTGCTTATAGAGAGGGCAAGTATGACGGTTTAATTTGGTGCTCCAGAAGTATACATACCAAGATGTCGCACAACCTGAATCCGAACATGCCTACACATACTATTTTAAGGCTGTGCGCCATCTTGGTGCGCATACTTCAGGAGGAATTTAATGGCAAACCTCGATCCCTTCTTAAAGGTTGGATTGGGTACGAAGAAAATTCTACTTCGTTGCACTCCAAAAACGGAGACTGTCCCTGATGAAAAAAATAAATGATCATTGTTCGTATCTAATGCGTTGTCACAGCTGGACCGTAGAGCATGCTAAATTGCCGTTCCTTCGTCATAATATATATATATATATTCGATGACAGGATAGCCTCATACAGAATGTTTTAGTTTTTTAACCTAAACTTTTGGAATCGTGTTATCCATTCGAATCATTACGTTCAGAACAGAAAATTTGATCATAGATTAGCGGGCGTGGTGGTCCATTGGTCAAGCGTTGGATTCGGATATTTTGGCATCGTGCGGTAGAATGTCAGGTACAATTTTATACCAACCTCCTTACCAAAGGTGTTGTAAACTGAATATTCAGCGATCGTCCACACAGAGTCTTGTTCGACCAGGAAGGCGTATAAAAAAAAAATCACAGTTAGATGACAAATTAACTACACAATTACTCAGAACTATGTGATCCCGGACAAAAGACCCAAAGCATAAAAATATGTGGAAATGATTCTCAAAATTGAATCGGGGTATCGATCAGATATAATTAGACCATGCTTGCAGTAACGCTAAATATTATTAGATTGCCTCATTTTATAAGGAATAATTCGAGAGATTTCTAATTTTAATTTCCCCCGACAGGTGAGAAATGCTGGACGCCTTATGTTTGCGACGGGAAGCCTACTTGGAAAGATATTAATACGGTGAGATCTTCTGTGAAGTAATTTTATATAGAATATTAAATTTTGTATTTTTATATTTTACTATTATTTACAAAATTTAAACTGTTTGTTTGAAATTTGAAAACAAAAAAAAATTCTACGTTCTAGCGATTTCTTCCAGCAATAAGTTCCGGAGGTTTGAGACTTTTTTAATTGATACCTCTTCTCAGATTTTACGTTTCCACTTACTTTAGCAATGTTCAGCATTCATGCCCATATATTCAAAGATTTCTTTCTTGTTCTATTTCAGGAAAGACAGTGCACAAAAGAAGAAGAGAAGGCTTTGGAAGGTTCGTGTCCACAATATAATTTCCTTCGACATAAATTTGCTTTTTTTTCATATTTTTCAAACGGTATGATAACAAACACGCCCTCAAACAATGGTTTTAAATAAAATGTATGATTTTTTTTTATTTTTAATGATCACATCATGTCGTGTAGTTTAGCAATACCAACTCCTATTCCAATTTTAACCAGAAAGAAAGCGATACATATATTCTGACAATAAATTCACTGAAAAGTAATTATAAAACTGAGGGCTCAATTTAATTTCTTTCATGTTTCGCAGCTTTAACAAAAAAATTAGACGGAGTGGAAAGTAAAGTACATCAATTGAAAAAGATGATGGAAGAACCAGAGCCGGACTCTGTGCCGCCCTCTGTTGTAGGTGTCAAGGAAACGACCACGCCTTCTTTTGTAGGTGTCGAAGAAACGACCACATCCTCTGTCGTAGATATCAAAGAAACGACCACGCCCTCTGTTGTAGGTGTCAAGGAAACGACCACGCCTTCTGTTGTAGGCGCTGAAGAAACGACCACGCTATCTGTTGTAGATGTCAAAGAAACGACCACGCCCTCTGTTGTAGGTGTCAAGGAAACGACCACGCTATCTGTTGTAGATGTCAAAGAAACGACCACGCCCTCTGTTGTAGGTGTCAAGGAAACGACCACGCCCTCTGTTGTAGATGTTAAGAAAACGACCACGGCCCAAGGTATGAATGTCTATGTCTTGTGGAATCTCATTCCTTAGAATAGATATTGAAAACTAATTTCCAGTCATTAAAATCGGTAATACGGCAATTATGCGAAGACACTAAAACAGAAAAATTTGAAATATACCCCCATTATCATTAGGTATCTAAAACTATAAATCATTCTATAACTTGTGAGATGAACTCATTTTTTTCACACAGGTAACAAAGTCAAGAAAACTTCTTTGTCCTATACTTCAACCGCCCTTGCTACATACCCGTGGTTAACTAAGGAAGCCTTTCTCTCTACCGTGTACCTACAAACTACAAAAGTCGGACAGAGTACAGGTTGGTCTGGCATTCTATTTCTCGTTTTTCATTTGGAACCATAACTAACTCAATTAACCTGACCATAATTAACCTCAAGTCCCACCCGTCTGTATTATCTAATTCTAGCGCATATCTCACTGTTATATTTTTTTTTAGCTTTATTAGCTCAGTGGTTGACCGTAATTTCCTCAGAGAAACGTTTACTTTATTTCTGAGTGAGTAGCGATACCTTGAATGATCGAAACTTCTGAAGGGACACTCGTATTATTTATTGTAAAAAACTACAAAAGACAATTATCCGGAAGAAAATGAATGAAATTTATTAATTAAAACGTAAAAATAAATATTCTTCTTAATAATAGTTTCATAAATATCCGACTTCAAACTGTTATTTTATTTTTCAGAATGTGGCGTTGTCTATAATTCGAAATGTTTTCGAGTTTATAACGTGCATAACGTCTCATTAAGCGTCGCTGAATCTATTTGCGGAAACAAACTTGCTAACATTTATGGCGTCACACACTACAACATGGTTCGAGATTATTTACGATCAATGATTCTTGATGAATTGTCATATATTTATGTTCGTACTGGAATGACTTACAACCACTTGGTAAGTCGAGTCTGATTCATGTTGCTTATGCGGCCATACGTGAACTCATAATAAAATGTGGCCGATATTGTTTCCGTATTACCAAGTGTTATTACATTTTATCTTGAGGTTAAACCCATATAGCCTTAGCATGGGAGAGAAGTTTAAATCAGGAAATTTATAACACTGACTACTGCAGGATGATATCAAATTAAAATTCCTTACCGGATTCGTTTTCCAAATTTGACTCCAACTCCAGTGGAACGCTTCAACTTTACGAATCTGATACTAAATCAGAAAAGACTAATTCAAACTAATTTGATTTTATGTGTCTATTCCATTCAATTGTCATCCACCAACGGTAATCACTGAAGTGTGACTGAGCAGAATAATCACGTGATGGTGTCACGCTTCAATCAGTTTCTCCCTGCAGACCAAATAAGTTTGTTTTGCTCTGTCAGATCATATGGCAAGGATTACTGGTTCAACCATATCCAACTATATTGTGAAACTGCCATTTGTAACATTTCTCAAAACATATTTTGTATTTCAACAGAACGGTGAGCTGAATTCAACAACGGGCCAAACTATATCTCTGCCAACTGAGGTTTGGTATCCTAATTATCCGTCTTCCTATGCATCGGACACAACTGTTATTATCCGTGTCGATCGAAACCCGACAAACAGCCATCAAGGGATTTTAAATGTTCATCCTTACAGTGTATCTCATGGAGCCATCTGTGAAAATGAATTATAACTCTGTCCACTGGAAGGTCGATAAAAAAAAAACTGTAAAATTTAAGAGTGATTGTTATTCACCTCAGTAGCTTAACTAAATTTACTATTTAGGCTTTTGTATACTAGAATATTCATTATCCACACATACAGCCTAACTTACTATTTCCACGGCCCATAGCTGAACGAGCATATAAAGTAAATATATTTTGCATGTGATATATTACCCCGTATGGGATACAGTTGGGGTGTGGGGTGACGACGTAAAAAAAATTATTTACGCATTTATTTTAATATTTCTACCAAACAAACTATTTTTTATGTTTTAGATGTGTCCAAGAAATGTTTGAATTTATTAATATAACTCAATTTATTCTGAGTGAATGTAAATAATCTTGAAAGGTTTTCGATTAGATTTTTTCAAATATATATTTCATGTTTAGGAAATTTCACTAAATTACAAAAATGATTGATACTTTATAAAAAACGGCTTCATATCTGTAACCTCTAAATATTTGATAATAAAGAAATACAACTAACATTATTTTATAATTTAAAAAAATATAAAAAGACATCGTCTTCGAATAATTGGCATTGAACTTCATTTTGTCAATGCTGTGAAATCGGATAAAAAACACAATCGACTCTAAAAAAAACTAATTTCGATAATGAAACCTTTGGTAAATGCAAACTTTCCTCAATAGAAAGATAAGAACGCCCAGTTAAATAATCCTTTTGAATTTATGGTGAAGTTTTGACTTATCTTGAAAGCATAGAAAATGTACAATTCTGACAAAATTCATATCTTGAACTCGCGCTCTAGTGGGAACTTGCTCAACTCCGATTTCACAGCCCTTCATTTTATGAATTTTTTCATTTTACGATGAATCGCTTTATGCAAATTAGATTCATTTAGAAAAATTGAAATCAAATTTACCATAAATTAAAAGTACCGAATAATTTTGATATAAGCTTAATTGGTCGGAATGCCTTTTCAGAAGGTCGTTTCTCGATTAAAAGCATTTTAAGTAAAAGCTGTTGTTGTTAATTGTTCTTGACTAAAATATTTGAACAATTATTTCAACAAGTCCAAGAGATCCTATTGTCGATGTTTAAAGCCATTATACCTTTTTACATCAATAGCTAGGGTCATATATTTCCCCCAGATAAAATAATATCATAAATTACAAGAATGTTTGCTGAGAAATCTTTTACAGAAATCAGATTTTTAGCTCCGCGTTTTCAAGTTGTATTTGACATTTTTTTCGACATCTTTTTCGATTCTCATTAAATTGAGCTTTCGTTGTAGCCTGAAGAAAATATAAGGAACTCAAGTTTGTCAGAAGGTTATCAAAATAGGGTAGTTATATTTCTTGTAGTATTCATAATGCTCAGCACGATGCGCCACACTGACAAGCTATATATGAGCAAAAGAGTGTATGCACTTCATCAAAAGTCGTTTTATTTTCATTGTTTTATATTTATTTATATATTTTTTTTGTCTAGTTATTAAATATGCTTTGGTGTGTGGAGTCTGAGCCTTAATTGCGCTGATAGTCATATCTTGTTGCTCGACTCCAACCACCGCTGCATACGTTAACTGTGCTGCTGTTTGCAGCGTCTTTCTTTTTGCTTTTGCTGTCACGGCACTTTATTTTATGATTTGATATTATCTGCTTTAATCGAGTGTTTTACACAGTATAATAAAGTTTTTTCTTCGTTTGCATCGTGAACTCGAATCTATTTGTGTGGCTTTGCAGCAGTATCTTTTGAACTCACCAGTGGCGAGCACATACTTCGGTGAAGACGCAACGCAGCAATTTGTCAACACAGTTTGATCCAATGAGCCAGTGTCACGCCCTCTTTTTATAAATAATTTTTTATTTTTATTTTTTATTTTTTCCATTTTTCAATTAATTAATTTTCATCACATTTCCATTCTGTATCAGTATTTATACGTAAAATTTTAATGTTCAGGTAGTTTAAATGTTTTGTAGTAGGGGGGAAATTTGGTGTCTTATTTATCACTAGAGTGAACTGAAAACAGGTACGGGTACAACTAAGAGGAAGAATGGTGCAAACTGGATATGCGGGAGTGGCAATGACTCAGTCGTAAGAGCCCAGTCAGTAGAGCTGGTTCGAAATCACAGTGGCTTTAGCTCTTGTTCAATGCACATTCATGTTTTAACCACGACTACGTACCCTATCAAGTGCGTACCCTATCAAGTTCGAATAATTGTTAGCGTAAAAAAACATAACAAAACCCCAATGGTTCTTCTTCATTAAGTTTTTATTTTTATTTTAGCACCTCAATTAAACAGCAATTCGAACTCTACCTACGAAAGGCTCTGTATACAAGAAATCCAACTTACGAAAATTCTCCTTATAAAAAAATATTACTTAAGCTAATGTAAATTTTCTAAATATACGGAGGGACGAAAACTGAAAACTTAAAATAACGCGTGTGGTGATATTTGTTTACTTTAGGTTAATTTAATGCAGTGCTTGAATAAGGGATGTCCAATTTGAATTAAATATTAAAATCCTCTCCATGTGTACCTTTGATATCTATTATGCAGTAATCTAATTCTAACTTGTATTTGTTACGGGTTTTAAGCAATATATAATTTTTACAAGTATTATGTCTTAGTTTTGTGCCGGCTTAGAACGGATTAGGGCATTTACAGGTTAACGTACTCTCTAGCTACTAAATTTCCTACCTACGAAGGGGCTTCCAGAACAAATTAATGTCGTAGGTAAAGTTTCAACTGTAGTTGCAAAGATAAAAATTGGTTCCTTTTTGTTATTGATCTTACGACATTGTTGGGGTCCTTGTGGAAATGTTGAGTTGAAACGCATAAATTTCTAAATTTCTAGTTTTGCTAATATGACAGTAGCACTCAGGTACTGGTATTGGCTTTGCGACGCAAAAGAGATTGCAATTGCAAAAACTTGTTTCGCGGGCATATTATTCCAAATTGGCACTTCTCAACATTGTAGTCCAATCATTAAAGGTACATTCACCACAAGTTATGAAGAATGTAATCCCTCTCACACTTTCAGAGTATTGTGGGAGATAGATGACATGTTCCTACGTATGAGCAGTCAAGGAAAACAGTCAGTCTCATACTTATTATAAAATATTAAGATTTCAACACCACAATCAGAAGGAATAAATAAATAAACACGATTACTAAACGCGTTTAGGTAGTTGAAGACGCTTACGAAGAATGCGCGCGGAATATAGTAGGGTTTACATATTTATTCCGGGGGAGAGAAAAGCCGGTAGGACGGCTCAATCATATGGCAAACCACGTACTTTCGTCTGATTATCAGTCCATGTTGGGTATGGGATTAGTTAGCAAGTTATTTTGTTTTTGAATAATGCAAGCGAAATACTGACTTGAATACAATTATTGTCAGAAGAATGAAAAAGTTGTTTTTGTATTTCCATATTAATTATGACGTTGTGGTAAAGTCTTATACCTTAGCGGTTTGTTCAAAACTGTGCACCATGATCCATGATCTAAACTTAGTAATCTACTAATGAATGATATTGTATGGAATAACGCTTTCAAGTTTTCATCTTCGTGACTGTATATTACAAACTTCATTCTACTTTTATTACATTATAATAATTGTCTGAGATAAATCTGCCCATAATTACATGCTCAGTATAACTCAATATATTTTTGTTTCATTCGAAATTGTATTTTGCTAACAATAATTCAGCCAACACTAACGTTTTTATTTATTCCAGATCACCTCCCATACATAGTGGATAGATTGTAAAGCACTCGGTAATGTTGAACTTTCGAATTTTTTGAAAGAATCAATTTTTTAAATGCAGTTTTGTGTTGAAGCACGTGCGTGTACCTTCATTAAAATTATAAGAAATTCTCCATTGGGGATTTGCTCATGTAACGTTTTTCGCAATTGATACATTTATTCGGTTTTTCACCAATAAATTCCTATATCTTCGAATGTAGAGTTTGTTATAATAACCACAAATTCGATATCGTGTGCCCATTTTTTATGAAATGTTTCCGCATATTTCACCACAAGTGTATAGCTCTTACCTAGAGGAAATTTGATTAGCGATTTTCTATATTTCGCTCGTACTTCAGTGTCACCAGTTTGCTTGTAATAATATCCGCATCCGATTTTCAGGGTCATATTTAACGTTCACGACCTCGGTTGCTCTTTTACGCGAGGCTCAATAGGAATGAATATTAAACATAGTCAATATTAAAAAGCCAACATTAGGGTTAAGTATGGACTTAGTGACATACCTCGACAATAATTTTTTTTTATTCTTTAAAAATAACCATGTAATCTACCACATAACTGCAAAATGAATTTAAATTTTATGCAAGTACTTGAAGAATTTGCAAGTTTCATTTTTGGTGTGGTTTAATTTCAAATTGGAACGCAGTCGTACACGGTGAAAAATCTTTTTAAAAATAAAATTTCAACTTTTTATTTTATTGAAAAATTCGTTGATAGCACTACTTTATGGTGTCAAGTCTTAAATTTTCTTAAATGCCCACCTGAACGAGATGTACGTTACTAGCTGATGCCTGCCAACTGTCAACTTACTATTTTGCTCGGTTCCTTCGATTGTAAATGCTAAAGCTTGTACGCAAGTTTACTCCTGCCAAGTCTATCACGCCAAGCAGGGTAGACATCGTTTTTATCACAAAAGAGAAGATAGAGCGCGACGCTGGACCAAAATCAATTCGGAAAATAAACAAGTAACTGACAATGAGACTATTATTTTAATTAACCCGAATAGATTAATACAAACAAGTAAAATTATCACAAGTTAAAGAAAATCTTCAAAAACTCAATTACTGTTCAACATATTTGTTTGGTGTAGCAATTGTTCAAAACATATCACTCCCCAGTACAGGCAATGCAACAAATAATGCAATGAATGATCCTGTAGTTTATACTATTTACCTCATATTCAATTGTAATTAAATACGTTTTGGATTTGGGCATAAAAACTTTTGACCATTTTGTAATATTCGTGTTTCAGGTTGAATATCATTTTTCCAATGATACTAAAGTTGATAAAAACGTAACTGGATTATTCGAAACATGTATACTGGGCGACTCAAAAGTAGCTATACAGTTATTAAACTATTTTACTGTTTAATCATTTTAATAACTGTATACCTACTTTTGGGCCACCCTGTATATCATTATTCAGTAGAAGCAATGCAACAAACTAATGCAATGAATTATCCTGTGATTTATACTAATTACCGCTTATCCAATTGTAATTTAATGTTTTAATTTTGGCAAAAAAGTTTGTTATATTTCAATTGATTACTAATTGTACAGATTTTTTAAGTAACCGCTTTATGTTCACTAACTAACACTGCTTCAACTTAGTTTCATTCCACAGGTCTAATTCCCATTTAGACAAACCTCATTGAGTAGAACTGGTCCTTTGATTTTTCCCACGACACCCATTTTATTGCCGGAACGTTTCTACCAACTACTTCATCAACGACATACGGTCCAGTCAAATGACAGTAATAGCATTTACAAAACCACCATCCTCCCTTGTAAATTTCAGCGCAGTTGTATGAATCCTCATCATGATCTTTAGTTGAAAACGGTTTTTGATCGTGGTAACTGAACATATCTCCTTCATCTCCTGAGTATTTTCCAATTGTGATCTTGTAGTTTTCAGATGATGATGCAATCTGAAATTTCCTAAAAAAAAAAAATGATATCTGATTAGGAATGGAGAAGCTTAAGAGAAAGGCATTGTTTCAATGTGCCATCAACATATTCAAATAAACCGGAATATATTAAATATAATTATTTTGAATCAAAACGAAAGGGAAATAAAACGCTATTTTCATAATTGATTGTTTCTAAATATTAGTCTGTGAAACATCGACTAAAATATCTTTGAAAAACCGATCACGATTTAGAATTTTCTGAAAAATTAATATAATTGTCTGAATGAAT